ATAATTATTAACAGAAAACTTTATTGTAAGCTACGATAAAAGCCACTATGATTTGAAAGATGATTAAGACTGTATGATTTTATCATGATTAAGTGTGATTTTATTTTTTACACTAAATACACAGAGAGATCTGTGAGTGCACACACCCATGTAATTCTCAAACAGGCATTAGCAGCAGCAGCAGCATCAGGACAGAGGTTATTATGCAGCTCTGCTGTGCCTAATGGCTTGGCATGTCCGTACAGTGTGTGCTCTGCATTATGGGGAGGCAGCAGGGTACGGGCACATGATCAGACAGCAACACCAATATCAAACACTGAAAAAGACGTCATTGGGATCAAAGCATCTGACAGATGCTTTCTGGGAAACCCAGTTTTAGGCTTTTGACTCATCTCATTTCTGAAGAGAAGCCAAAAAAGTGACCAATTTAGGAAATAAATAACAGCTCGAAATGTTCTTGCCAGACTAAGAGAGTTCTTTGTGACTTTGCACATAAACATGTTTGAGTTTTTTCAATGCTATGACTGACTATATCAGTTATTCTGAAAATAATACAGCCAGATCCATTTTTTCAGACACTGCATGTTGCTATATTTTGGGATCAGTAAGTTTTTTTTTTTAAAGAAATACTTTTCTTCAGCAAGAACAAATTATTCTTTCTATATTCATCAAAGAATCCGGAAAAAAAATCATCACATTCCTCAAAAATATGTAATGCTGTATGTAATTTCTGTACTGCGTAATAAGTTTGCAGATATTTAGGAAACAAGCTAAGTTCAAATAATTATTTCTCCGAAAAGCAATGCTACAGCCAGTTTTTCTACTTTAGAATGTGCGTTTCCTTGTCAGAATGTCTGTTTTTGTTTTGGTCTGTGTGATCCCGCCCACTGCCAATTTACCCAATAGTATTTCGACACCCCAGGTTGCCAGTTATTGGAAAAGACAGTCCATTGCAGCGGCCATTGCGTGTCCTCAGTCTGGCAACCCGCGGGAGCGCAGAGTCTGAAGAGAAACAACTCTCCAATATTTTGAACTTGGACTGCAGTACCCATTTCAACGAATATGTGTATTACATACAGCACCTTTAAGCAGTGTTTTCAACATTAATAATAATAATAATAATAAGTAATGTTTCTTGAGCAGCAAATCAGCTTATCTTTCATTAAAAAATGGATCCCAAATCGACCCTTTCGTTTGTAAATTTCAAACAAATTCCATAAGATTATTTTTTTGCTGCAGACTACAAACTAGGCTACTTCATGGGTACGAGTCAAATATGCCAAAAAACAATTTGATTGTCTGAAGAGAGCAGTCAAGGTTTAGTTGGTTGGCATCATGGCAGAGTCCAGCCAGGCAACTGCCACTGAGATGAACAGAAATGCTAACGGACAGCTTTCTCCTTCTAGATCAGAACAAAGCCTTATGTTAGTGCTCAAATGCAACATGCCGCCTCCATAACACGCACACAGTTCAACCAGCCTACGTTGCACAGGCACAATTCCTTTTGATTTATTCCCCTGAAACATAATTTAGCTGGGAAGTGCATTGTCACAAGCTGGTGTGACGTGGGTGAGTGCGTGCTCCAGGATGAAAGTGAGGGGGTGGCCGGCTGCGTGGGGAATCCGTGCCCGACGACTGCCTGGAAAACAGGGGAACTGCTCTGCTTTTTGGTAGTGATGACAGACTGGCAGCGCTCCCAGACCACCCCTCCCCACACACACCAGCATTTATACTGAAACCTCATCACCCCGATCACGGTCACCAGTCACGACTCAGATGCTCTTATCCTCAGACACCCAAAAACACTCCAAATCATCATGTAAAACGCCTGCAATGCGTGTGAGAGTGTGAAAACCAGAGTGAGAGGAGGAAAGTCTTAGAAGAAAGCACACAAAAATCAGCCTCTTTCTTTGCCACTCTAAATAAAAGAAATGAAAAGAACTACAAATTACACAAGAATGTGAATGCATCAGACCTAGACTTCTCAATAAATCCAAATACATATTTATTTCTTTATAATTATGAAATTGGAATACAGTTAGAAATGAATACAGTATTAATATATGCAATCATAGTATATATATATATATATATATATATATATATATATATATATATATATATATATATATATATATAGGCTAGAATTATTTCTGAAGGATCATGTGACACTGAAGACTGGAGTAATGGCTGATGAAAATTCAGCTTTGCATAACAGAAATAAATGATATTTGAAAGTATATTAAAATAGAAAACCATTCTTTCAAATTGTAATAATATTTCACAATATTACTGTTTTTCTGTATTTTAAATGCATGCTTGACGATGAGCATCAAAAACTTCTATCAAAAACATAGTAATGTTTCCAAACTTTTGACCGGTACTATACACACACACACACACACACACACACACACACACATATACATATATATATATAGGCCTATTAATCTATAGAGGCCTATTTATTGATATTGGCATGTCCCTGATTTGTATCCAAATTGTGTATTTTTTATTTATTTATTTTTTCAGAGAAGTTGCACTGTATTATTTGTGCCACTGTTCACCTGATTAACATTTTGAAAGGTTCCCGTGTACCACAGGGTTTCACATAAACTGAGTGCAAACACATCATCTCAAAGGACTAATATTAAGCATTAAGAAGGTTAGATCTGCTGTATAGTTATGGAGTTAAACAGCTATTGCTATAGCATTTACACAGCAAATCTCATATTCCAACTCGCAATTTAGAGCGAATGAAAAGGAGTGCCGAAGATGTACTCATTATTACGCTATCCAAAAAAAGTGCCTGAGTAACAGAAGTAATAATTCAAATTTATCACCAGATGTTCCACAATTAAAAAACGCTAACCGGCAAACGGAAGGACAGAGATGAGTCACAGCGTAGCCGAGGGCTGACATCGCTGCTTGTTATCGTGTGACCTTTAACCTCGATACACAGAAGCTGTTCCATTTTAGTCTTTTAAATGAGAGCAGTCATGGAAACTAACATGAGTTTGGATAAATTTAGCATTTTGTATAAACATAGCAGCACGGCATATATAAAGAGTTCAGGCCACTCACGCAAGCATGGACATGGTGATTTTTGATTTGTAGTGACATGTCCTGATGTATTGTACACTGTGTTTAGATCTTACTGCTCTTCTGTGGTTTGGAAATTCACACAACACAACAACTGAGCCTCAAAGCAAAAGCTGGCACGCCACATTGGATGAAAAGAGACACAAACTGTAAATATCAACAAGCTCATGCAGCGGCAGTGCAAGAATATCTGCTATGTGTGAAATACAGATTGACCACAAATTATAAACTGAATTCATATTTGCATAAACACACAGATCAAGTGCTTTCTGGTGGTAAATACACTGTTTACTGTAACACAAAGGCAAAAGGAGCATGTAAATGGTAACAAAGCTGTGTAAAACACTAGTAAATTACTCATCCATTCCTTCATTCATTCATCCTATTCCCTGTTCTTATTCCTATTTGTATTTCCATTCATATACTAACAGCATTTACACTTCTGCATTGATGAAACTTGACTAAGCAATATCTGTGGTGCCACGCAGCACTGGTGTTTCACTGACGTAATGATGAGGCTGGGTTAATGTTCCGGCCTGTCTCTGTGTCACTGGAGTAAAGAGTGTGAGTCACACACACACACTCCCAGTAATCCGCACTGGACAAATTAACCTTATTGTTGGCAGTGATCCAAAACTCCGGAACTATCATGCCATGAAGCCCCAGCCATTGCCTCTGGAGTCGTTCCTGCTCAACAATTTTTTGTTTTCACATTGCAAAAATGTTTATTATTATTATTATTATTATATTTTCAGCAAAGATAATTTTATATGTCTGAAAGATATTTTTCATGAAATGCCAAGTTGTCTTTTACAATATATATATAAATTATTAGTTAATTAATCAATTATTCTGCAATATGAATTTGCAATTACAGCTGGGAAACTGTCTATTTTTATGGGTCAAAAAGAAATATTTTTTTATATTTATATCTTTATATAAAATATTTCTCAGTAATTACTGTGTTTCCTTTACATATCAATGCATATTAACTATTAGTTAATAATTTAATTTGCAACAACAGCTGGGAAATTGTGCAGCTATGTTTATGTGTGAGAAAGGTATGTTATTTTATTTCTACTTATAGTATATCTATAATATATTTCTCAGTAATTATTAGGTTTTCTTTACAAAAAGTTATATTTATGTATAATTATTAGTTAATTAATCATTTCATTCACAATGGGAAATGTTTTATTTAAAAAATATTTCTATTTTTATCTATATTTAGAATACATTTCTGAGTAATTATTAGTCTTTCTTTACAAAAAAAAGTTATACTGAATGCATATTAATTCATAATACTTAGAATGTAGGAAATTCTGCAGCTGTAGTTTAATGCATGACATTTTGACAATTCATAAACCCACTTTTATTATGATGATTTTCAACCAACTGTTGATTTCAACTAATCCTGTTGATTATTTTCAACCAATTCTAAAAGATCCTTGAAAGACCACCACAAATTATTCTCACATTTCAAACCTTTTAACCAGCAAAATAACATCCTGACATTCAAATCAGCGCAATCAACAACATTCCGTATGTCACAGAAAAGCAAATGCTTATGTTTGCAAAGCATAAACACATCAGCATCATTATGATCACACCTTGTAATAACTGCTTTAATGAGCTCATTGTTTCTGCCTAAATGAATACATGATGTTAGCTATCTGCATGACTTGTATTATCTTAGAACTGTACATTTCTAACATATGGAAATTATTTCTGTACCTCTGATTAAAGATTACTCTAAATTGTAAAGCAGAAATATACATTTTCTGTAAAGCAGCTTCGAAACAATGTGCATTGTGAAAAGCGCTATACAAATAAATGAATTGAATGAACTGGATTGAATCAGCCAGTGTGATACAAAACACCTCTCGACTTGTACTCACTGCAAAGTGCAATAATGTGGCTGCTGTCTTCATGTACAAACTTCTTGGTCACCGCCTCCTCCATAATCTGCTTCACCTAGACATGGAAAGACATGTAATTAGGAGCTGGCGAAAAATAATGGCAAGTCAAACTTCTTTCTGCACATTGGAATCGGGTGCACAAAAGCAACTAATTAATCATGACAGCGAAACCACAAATGCTTTAATTAGCATCATTCAATTGATAAGTTTCCCCGAGAGTGCAAGGAACTGTAGAATGAGGCTTTGTCAACATTTTTCTCCTCCAGCTGTCAGTATTACAGCAAATCCCAGACTAATTAATCACAATCCTTGCAGGCAGCTTTATACTGTTTGTGTAATTTGAAGAACAGTAGAAGGGTAATTGTAGCAATAGGAAGGCGTAAATTATGGGCATCTGCTGATTACGGGCATGATTTGTGTGCACCCTATGGTATGAGATTTGCCACAAGGCCAACAGACAGCAAAAGAAAGGATGATTTAAAGGCTGATATCAAGTGTTTGGCCAGTTGTCGTTGGGATTAAAAATAAAAAAAAATAACTTGTGGAGCCAGTAACTATAGCCTGATGCATTACATAACACGCCTCGAAAGACTCGAGAACGGTTGGACGCTCGAATAGCACACACAGCATTAGTAAATGTTTATTTTAACCCAGTGCTCCACAATCCACATGATTCAAAGGAAAACAATGGCATTACAACCCATTTCCAGCCAAGCTGACAGCAGAAACAATATAGTCATTAATATTCAAGGATTTTTACAGATGAAATAAGGGGCATCCAGAGCTTGCAGCTTTTCAGTCCACACACTGATATTTTCACAATATGCTCAGCATCTAACATTGATAAATACAATGAGTTCTGGCATCCTCTTTCCAATTTAAAGGGATAGTTCATCAAAAATGAAAATGTTGTCATCAGTTACTCACCCTCATGTTGTTCCAAACCTGTATGAGTTTCTTTCTTCTGCTGAACAGAAATGAAAATATTTTGAAGAATGTTGGTAACCAGACAGTTGATGGACCATAGTATTCATAGTATGGACCACTTACATAGTATTTTTTGGAAGTCAATGGCTACCATCAACTATTTGATTAACAACATTCTTCAGAATATCTATCAGAATAAAGAAACTTACAGATTTGGAACAACAGATTTGGAACAAAGGGTGAGTAAATAGTGACAATTTTTCAAGATTTGTGGGTGAACTATCCCTTTAAGAGGATATAGTGAACACCTATGAAGGGTTGCAGTCAATCACACAAAAGTCAGTTGCACTTTATTTTACAGTATGTGCACTTTCAATACAGTATACTTACCCACGAAACAAATGAGTAATGTATGGGTTAAACATGGGTTAAGGTTAGATTTAGGGGTAGGTTCAGGGTTAATACCTAATTATTACCCAGTTAGCGTCATTACCAAGTACATAGAATGTCTGCGAAACAGGACTGTAAAATAAAGTGCTACTGAAAGCTTCTTGACAGAAAATCAGACAAACCTCAATAAAAAAAATGGGGATGTATTTCTGCAAATGCAAAAATATTCAGTAACTATTAAATAGATAATTGCAACATGGTGCAACCAATAAATATTGATGGGGGGAAAAGCAGAGAACAGGAAAACAAAACTAAGTTGTTTTGCTCTTGTGGGAGCCATTTGTGACGATCCCTGCTTCATGCAGCTGTATTAATCGTCCACTGATGCAATTTAACTTCTTAGCTAGCTGCTGATGCTTTCAGTTCCTAGGCAACCAGAAGACGGCTGACTGCAGCTTAAAGCGACAGAGACATGGGATGTAACACAAAGAAAGTCAATGGAGGAAAAAAATAAAATCTAATTCTGTGTGTATTGCAGAGGGCTGTTATTTCCTGTAAAACGGCACATTTATTTTCCTTACTATATATATACACTAATGTCCTTTGAAGTGATGTGTTTCATTTTAAATAGCGTGTACTTCTATGCCCCAAATGAAGAAAGAAAGGTAATTGTGGAAGTAACTGAAGGAGAAACACTGTTAAATCAGTGGAAATTGTTGTTGTTTTTGGTGAAAAGAGTCCAGGACATCTCTGTAGAGGAAGTAACTAATTTTAGATGCAAAAATAGGAGATTTAAGTGAATATGACGCACCAAAGTTCTTTAAAACTTGATGACCGAGACGTTAAAAATTGATTTCCTTATTAACCCAGGCCACCGGGCCACATGAGGCCAGACACCTTAAGAATTACTGCTGCTCTTCACATGCATGATTTTTGCCCTTTATTAGACATGCCCTTAACTATCATGAGAAATGATGTCTGCCAGGATTGGGCATTAAGTTGAAGAGGCTGAATCAGCATTGGACACAGTCTGTTCTGTTCTGACACATGCGACATCCTGGTACCAATTTAGGAGATCTATTCTTTGCAGCAATTCATTCAAGATTTCTATTATTCATGAGGGCTGGGTTTAAAACTAGTGTTCCCTGCACTGTAAGGGAAAAGATAAGAATTAATTATACTGATATGAAAGAATGTAACAGCTTCTTCCACTAGGCCTATACAATTCCTGGAGTGAAAACATTTGAAACTCAATGCAAATGTGAAGTCTTATCAAATAATTAATACAATTATGTTCAAGAGTGCATTCATATTATCTCAGTGTTCTTATTTTGAAGTGGTATAAAATGTTTAGCACATTAAAAATATAGGCTATATATTGTTTACACATTTTTTTTAGGTTAAGATTATACTTGGATGAATCTGTTTTCCAATACCATTACAAGGCTCATGGAATACTTGGATCTGATTGGTCAATCATACAATATTTTGTATAATGATCACAAAACTATTTCACCACTAAGATGTTCGTATATTGTTTTCTGTACTGTAATGGACTATTGGCCAACTATTATTAGATGATGTATGCTAGCATAGAGGTCCAATTAACACTATGATATCAAATAAATGTCATGTTTTATCAATACGCCGGCAATTATAGCAAAATAAACCAGTGATGTATCACATACACTTCACATACATTATTATCCCTAATTAATCTAGTGGTCGAATTAAACGGTTTTTAATAATGAGTTTGAAGCTATAATACAAAAGCTATGCCTTGGCCAGTTCAACCTGTAGCGTAAACCAACAACGGCCATACCGGTCCTATATTATGCAGATATTAATTTGACTAATCCCCTCACATAACATACAAACTTAGATAATTGAAATGAGTGTAAACAGCTAGAAAATTAGGTTAGGCTACTGTTGAATTTCCACACGAGAAAGTTTTTTTTTATATAACTATCATGCGATCAAAAGAAAATAAGCCCAGATCAAAACAAAATTCAAGCACATAACGCAACCGATTTCTTCTAATCAGTCCAATAATAAAGTAACGTTAGCGCGTTCTCTTGCAGTCGCGTTATAAATAAACCTCGAGTGCTCTGAGCGCTCGTGCAGCCCCTCAAGTATCTGTCAATGGACATTCGGTGTCGGCTCGTTTTTGTTTACATTGCAAACGACTAGCAGCATACTCGACACTGAAAACGTATTCGTCCATGCGGTTTAGGATGTATTTAGCCACTTGGAGAGGAAAGAATCTGATCACCGCAGAAACCATTGATTAAATCAATATCTCCCATATAGTCATTAAGTTATACGCGGATAAGGAAGGGTATCCGAACCCTCAGCTCTACAGGTAAAATGGTTTGAATGTGAATCTATAAGAGATATTATAGCCTGCCTGGAGACTCACAACTGTAACTTGTTATAGTAACCTAAATTGATTCACTGTAACCAGCAGCACATCTGAAACTTCCATATGCATGCACTTAATTCGGATGCACATCCTAACAACAAAGCATGCAAGATAATAGTGCAAGCGTGTTTTCAGCACGCAATCAAAACTAAGAATATGTAAGTGAATAATACTTACTTCTCTTTTGACGTTCCATAGTAATTTCTCTTTAAATTCTTCATTTGTAGTCGAACCCATTGTCCCTGACTGTTAAACAACCCAAGTGCAGCATAAACTGGCTGGACATAAATCTAAACGGCTCGCCTGCCTTTTCCCCCAATGTTTTTTATTTTATTATCCTTCCTCCCCTTTCATATAAACGTGTGTACTGACAGCTGAGCGTTGACGCATCTAAGCACTGCCGAAGCGCATCGTGAAGCCATCTTTGGTTCCTCTATGACGCAATCGCCGCTGACCCCGCCCCCTCGTCATTGTTGATCAATGGGATAAATCTCTTCACGCGCCGTACGCTGTTCAAGGCAGTGACGGCGATTTATTTTTAGCTCCCCTCCACATTTGACAGCTCAGATGGAGGCGCTTGCGGTGGTTCAACTAATCAGGCATTGTCATTAGGCGTTCATCAAGACATGATGTTTATAAGACCTATTGGATGAAAAGATACGTGATGCGTAATGGTTATAGTCGCACATTCTATTATGGAAGACACAGCTAGCTATTACCTATAAATGGCACAGGTGCATCCAAATGAAACCAAAATAATGCAACTATTGAGTTGATACAGAATATTTAGAAGCTGTTTAAGGGGGCTTTGAGGTACAATGAATTTACATACCAAGCCTGTAACAAAAATGAAACACACACAAGATATTTTGAAAAATGTCTAGCTTTTTTTTTTTTTTATCAATATATTGTCAAACAGGTCCAGTGTTGTTTTGGACCCCATTGCCTTTCACTCTATGGGCAAAAATCATTCTTCAAAATATCTTCTCTTGTGTTCTCATTTTAATATAGAAGTTAATATAGAAATGTTTCATGAGTGTTAAATAATTAGAGCAGGAAACTTCTAGGGCACATTCATTCATTCTTTAGGCATTAAAAGCACATTTCTTATCACACTAGACCAAAATAAATCAAACACTACAACCTAATTTCCCCATATGCAACACCCCAAGTCCATATATATATAATTTGTTTTCAAATCCATTTCCTATATTAATCATCTTAAATAACAGTATGGATGATTAACGTAGGCATAAGGCAAGATTGTAACAGAATATATCATCCTGTATGGTTAGCAGAAACAGAGTGATGTACTGTATTTGGCAGATTTATCTTGGCAAGATGTTATAAAAACATTCTATGATTAGATTAGTAATTACTATTTAAAGAGATAGTGTTTTCCTCATAAAATAACAATAAATTAAAATACAGGAATTGATGCCAATTCAAGATCAACCTTTTTGTGTTCCGTTCACATTAATGTTCAAGACAGATTTCATTCAAAACACTGATTGTCAATCCCCCTACAAAACAAAAAGGAAAGCAGCAATCTGTACCGGCAGCAAATTACAAAGTGGTTAAAGGGTGCTGGTAGTTTAGTGTTCTCCACAGACAATGTGAAAACTGAGGATATATAGTGTCTTGGAAGCCTCAATTCACAGTTAGGCTAATGTCCAAGCGGTCTGTCATCATAAGTGCTGTATCTTTTAATGTGGATGCGACGCACGCGCTCCCTCAGCTCCACGGCCTCCTCCTCTTCACTGTGTGAGCAACAATTGTTCCGTCTGCGGGTGGCCTCCAACAGGGAGTTATCTGGGACTGGGAGAGTCTCATAAAGCAGGGCATTTAGTGTCTCCTCGTAGATCCGTGCTTCTGGAAACTCAACCTGAGAGCATTACAAGAGTCCTTCTTTGATACATTTGAACAGGCTATGAAAGTGTCTCTGCAAATACCTATTCAAACAGGAGTTACCTTTATCTGCTTCTTCTCAGTAGCATAAACAATGGATGTGCAGCAGACTTCTGCTAGTTTACGCTTCTGTCCGTAAAAGGACCAGCAGCAGATCTCGTCTCCAATGACATCTTTAATGAAGAGTACACGACCGCTGTAGCTCAGGGACAGCTTCTCAAACAACTCGATATTCTTGAGTAGGTTGTCATCCGAGTTGCTTTTGAGGAAGATAAAACCAATCAAAAAGACAAGTATTGACAGTAGAAGCTATGCGAATCTCTCAAAAAGTGAAATCACCTTGAATGTTAAAGGATAAAACACTTGTATTTACCTTGTATAGGAATATTTGTTGTTACCTCGGTTGTAAAGTAGTTTCACAACAGGCTGTAAGCGAAAAAATAATAATGCCAGGAGACTTTTAGACTTTGTAGATGGTCTTGTTTTTATGTGAACAATGAACATAGACACCAAAAGACGGGGAATATTTGCCTCGCAGGATAGACTCACCCTTACGCAGCCTTGTATCAGTCTCTCCTCCTCTTTAGGAGATGTTATGAATGGGATAACACACAGAGCCTTTTCTTCATTATCCTACAAAACAAAACAAACAAGCAAATACATAAGAATATATGAATAAAATAAAAATAGATCAACAAACAAACAAATATCTCAAAAAGACTGTCAAAAATATCTGGGTCTCATTTTAACTAATAAACAAACAAAAAAAATACTTTTTTCTTAATGCATACTACTTTAGAATATATACATATATTTTGCACATTTATTTTTAAACAAGCACCTTTATGGGAATTTTGCCCCAATTCTCACTACCATGAAATCTTAATGAATGACAATACAAATGTGTGGTGGAAATGTGCTCGACTTACATGTCCCAATTTTTTTATTATTATTTTTTTAAACCAATTGCCAATTATTTTCCAGTGTATACAGTAGCGTGAGGCCAACTACTTGATTGTAAATGTGTATCTTTTTTTTTCTTCTTTGTTTTTTTTATGTATTGTGTTTGTTTTATGAATTTGATTTGGGGGCCCCCTCCCAATACGCGAAGTCACCTGTGCTTGACGATTTTTGACACAAATGTCACGCAATAATGATACATTATAAGTGAATACAGTGAGGTTATGTATTAATACAAAATAAATACTTAATAAAAAATAGATGCCTACTTAAAAAAGTTTTAACTTTTACTTTACTCTTTTACTAACTCTTTGAAACTTCTTAAAACAAACGGTCTCAAAACATATAAAATAAATGATTTGCTAAAATAACGACAAAACTGAGAAATCAGAAACATAATAAGAGCAAGGGTTCAACAATGACAATTATTGTTGTTGAAAACTGTAAAAATATTATTATTTCTCAACTGTCTCAATACAGTGTATCAAAATCTTTTTTATTATTATTATTGTAACAGACTTTGTTGGATTGTACACGACAGAATCCAACAAAGTCTATTACTATAATACCAGTAATGATCGCTCGTTGTATGTGTGTATGCAATGTATTTTTCCCCTCGGGGCTTGCCGTAGATAGGAATGGGTCGTGCGCACTTGGTACTTGAGTGTCGCGGGTTTTTGGAGTTAGTGATCTGATGTGTGGTATAATAAAGTGGAGAAGAGTTCAAACTGCTATGTTTATTACTTATTCAAACTGCTACCCTTACACCTAGAAGGTTAAGTTCCCCTGCAGCTATTTTCTCCAACTTAAACCGATACCGTGACAATGCGCAGTTGCGCACGAATTGTCTATGCGCGCGCGAGGTGTCTAGATTATGCGCATGACTTAAACGCTGGCAGACACAGCAGCAGTTCTAGGCAGGTATATTGATCATGAATTTTTTTTTTTTGAAACTCGATTAGGGGGCCCCCTGGTGGCCGCTTCCCCAAGCAGCCGCTTAGTTTGCTTATGCCTCGGGCCGGCCCTGAGTGGCTGTATTCGTGAGCACAAAACAAATTTCCCATCGGGACAATAAAGTATACCTAAACTAACCCTAATTTTTTTGACAGGTTTCATGAGAATAACACAAAAGCAAGAACACACATAATCAAGTGAGTGCACAACTTCCTTTCATTATTCTAAACCAACCTGCAGGGCCTCCTGGCACAAATCTATCAAGCCCTGGATCAGGTAATACTTGGCTTCTGCTAGGAGCTCCATGATACCCTGTCTGCTCTTGGGCAAAGTCACAAATCCATCTCGGAGATAGCTGAGAATCAAACCGAAGTGTTTCCCACAGCGATCTATTAGGATCCAACCTAAAGACAAAATAACAGAGAATTCACTTTAACAACATCAGCACTGAGTCAAGGTTAAAGAGGTCTTATCTCTGCAATGTCTAAATAACTTACCTTCCTTATCAGTGAGCACTTCCTTTTTGCCGCTAAACATGGATCTCAGCAGGGTGTCCTGTCGGGTGAGCACTTGCAGTGTGGAATAGTAAAGATTTCCACCAACATTGAGCTGTACATACTTGTTGCCGGTGACACCGCGGTAGGTGCAAGTGTTAGTCTTGGGGCAGGCCACTGAAGAGACTGACACAATTGGCCCAGTTTGCGGTTGAAGCTGGTGCAGGCAGCTCTCTCCTGACATGTCCCGCTGTAGGTAGATAACCACCCTGCACACAATGGGTCTGATTTCCCCCGCCGTGGTGAATGTTGCTGGGCAGGCTGCTTGTGATGCCAAACCTACATGCTACACATCACCTAAAACAACATGTATACAACTTACATGTAATACAAGACTGCTATGATTTATAAAAAATTTGATATTACGGTTATCGGCTAAGTTAGCTCTAATATTTATTTACAGGTAGTATATTTAAGGCATAACGACAGCAAATAAGAACTTGTACTATAGACATACACACAAATATACACATATGTGTGTGTGCTAATATTTGCTTTATATACACAGTACCGGTCAAAGGTTTGGAAACATTACTTTTTTTTTTAATGTTTTTGAAAAAAAGTCTCTTATGCTCATCAAGCCTCCATTTATTTGATCAAAAATACAGAAAAAAAACAGTAATATTGTGAAATATTATTACAATTTAAAATAACGGATTTCTTTTTGAATATACTTTAAAATATAATTTATTTCTGTGATGCAAAGCTGAATTTTCAGCATCATTACTCCAGACTCCGACCCTTCAGAAATAAGTCCATTATGCTGATTTATTATCAATGTTGGAAACAGTTGTGCTGCTTAATATTAATTATAACCTGTGATACTTTTTTCAGGATTCTTTGATGAATAAAAAGTTAAAAAAAGAACAGCATTTATTTAAAATAGAAATCTTTTGTAACAATATGAACTACCATTCAAAAGTTTGGGGTCAGAATTTTATTTTATTTTATTTTTTTAAATAAATTAATACTTTTATTCAACAATTATGTGTTAAATTGATAAAAAAGTAAAGATTTACATTTGAAATCAATGCTGTTCTTTTTAACTTTTTATTTATCAATGAATCCTGAAAAAAAAGTATCAAAGGTTCCAAAAAAATATTAAGCAGCACATGAGCACAACTGTTTCCAACATTGCTAATAAATCAGGATATTATAATGATTTCTGAAGGATCACGTGACACTGAAGATACACAGAAATAAATCCGTTCAAAGTTTTTTTATTGAATGACAACTTTGCAAAAACAATTACTGTACGATGGAATATACACATTTTTCCTTTTTTTAACAGAACATACCCCACCCTCCCATCCAATTACAAACAAACCTGCAAATCCTACAAGAGATGATATAAATCACAGTCTAAATTGTAGTACATATTAAGGTGAAAAGGGTAAGAATGGGAAAAAAAATACACACCCTAAAATTTTTTTAATAATAATAACAATAATAATTTCAATAAAAAGACCAATAAATAAATAAATAAATAAATAAATGGAATAAAATAAAATAAAAGAGGGGAAGAGAGTAGCTACTCTGATATTGTGGTAGTTGGTTTCACAGAAATAAATCAATTATATTTTCAAGTATATTAAAATAGAAAACCATTATTTTGAATTATAATAATATTTCACAATATTAGTTTTTTTCTGCATTTTTTATCCAATAAATTCAGGCTTGATGAGCATAAAACCTTTAAAAAACACAAAAACATTAAAAACAGTAATGTTTACCCACTTTTGACCGGTACCGAGATTATATATATATATATATATATATATATATATATATATATATATATATATACTAATGTAAATGTATAATAATAATAATAATATATATATATATATATATATATATATATATATATATATATATATATATATATATATATATATATATATATATATATATATTATTATACATTTACATTAGTATATATATATATATATATAATACACTAGCAAAGCCTCATATACTTACGTACACCTTTTCTAGACTTTAGTTAAGTTTAATGCTAAGCGAAAAGTAGTTTAGTTAGTTTAATTCAAAACATTGAAATGTTAAGGCAAGTTTGCCACCATGAAACTTTTCCAATCTAGAAAACTCACCCACTCTGCTGCGGTAACGTTGAGCTATGGGTGGGCGTTGAACTGAACCCGTAGACTTGATTAGTTCGACAGTTTTACTTCGACCATATTTTATAAGGAAAAAAGCAAACAGGTCTATCTGAAAATTTAGAAGAGGAAAACACTTAGTTTTTACTTCAAACTTCAGTAGTAATACAACGGTGTGTTTGTTTTCTTCTTCTTTGAAAGAATAACAGCGACAGGTTAAACCGTGATAGGGATCTACTGCCACCCATTGGCTAGTGCAGGGATTGTCAACCTAATTGCACAATCTTATCTTTCATAATAAATAACAATTACGGGTAATATGATGTTGAACCGAGTTTTCAGTCGATTAGCCTACCTTTATATCCATTTATATGACCTGAAATCATTTTTAATTACGTATAGCACTGGTTTTAACCGTTACAAAACTAGTCTCTCAAGTAATGAAGTACTTTTATTTTGAAATGTACCCATTTCACAGTGACTGTTCTAGATTTGTGGAAATATAGAATGTAAATCTCCATTATTCTAAGACTTCTACATGATAGCCGTTATTCAATATCTATTTTTGTTAATAAAGCAGGCATTGTATTTAATTATGCTATTTGTAGTTTGTGGGAACTTTTAGCCGCTTTTGAGGGTGACAGTGACGACATTCTAAGAACCACCTTCGCGGCGCAGTTCATATGTTCGATTGGCTCTCTCTGCCTGCCAATCACGAAAGACATAACCAATCAAAATCGTTTGTCCTTTCCACTCGTGCTCCGGGTACTAGCTGCATCATATTCAAGATGTCTGCGGTGTCTATGTATCCCATGTGTGTCCGGGCGAGCCGGGGCCTCCTCCGATTGAGGCAGGGGGCCAACGGATCCATAACCCCTGCGGTGCTGGATGTTGTCCGGTCATTCTCTGCTGACACATCTAGTAGTAGTGCCACAGGTGGACTGGCCCAGGCAATACTGCAAGAAAGGCTTCAGCAGCAGAAAAGCCAGGTGAGCGCTATGACCGCCTGACATTCCTACATGACAGGGTATTAGACAGCCAATTATTGCTTTTTGGTAAAATATTTACATTCTTACATATCAATGCTCAGGTGTTGAGTATGTCGATGCACAAACGACCATACATTGTCAAATACTTTGGTCTGGTTAGTAAAGGTTGACAGGTTGAATGAATTCAGACACAGCAGGCAATGTTATGTGTGATAGACCAAGGACATTGGTTACATGTTCACATCATCAGTAGAAATCAATGCAGGTTATAACCTTTAGTCTTAAATACGTACCATTATGAATGGCTGTAAAGGACTATACAAAGAGCTAGATTACATATACTAATTAATTATATGAAGATACTGAGTTTCTGTAAAGCCTGACAGATAAAAAAAAAAATCTGATTTATTTAATTGGTACTGTTAGAAAATAACATCTTAAAAAGGTTGGCATGTGTGTTTTATGATTTGTATCATATTTGATACATCAAAATGTGTGGCTCATATTGTATGATATATGGAGCCCAAACTCGAGGAGGAAAAGACCTCAATTTTACTTACAATTTTACAATTTTACTTTAGACTTAAAAAAGTAAGATGAAGTTCTGATGGCTTGTAATGTAAATCAATGAGATTTGCAACTGTATAGCAGACTACTTGCATAAAATGTACATAAATATCAGCTGCATCTGCCAATAATGTCTCAGAAAAATATTTTAGTTCTTAGTTTTATGATCAAAGCTCTGTAGTTTTTGTTGTGGAGGTGGGGGTGGGGCGTTGTATCATATTGTATCATATTTCCATACTTGCATTTTAACATGATTTTTATGAAGTAAATGTTCATCTTGAAATAGCAACAACATGTAAACGTTATTCTTATGTTTACTTTAGAAAAATCACTAAAGATTTCACAGCAAAAAGACCACGTGTCTGAAGACATGTAGAATATGGTGTGCAACACAGGCTACATGTTTTTTTGATCATGTTGATAATTTAGAGGCCTACATGTCATCATATTTGGTACACAATCATGTACCAAATATGATAATTTAAATTTAGTTTGTTTTTGTTATATCCTTAAATTAAGTGTGGTTTAAAATGACATTTGAATGACTTTCACATTGGAGCTGTATCATGCATGGTCAGGAATCCTCTTTTGACTGTTGAATACAGGTAAGGGCTGAGGGCTGAATGTCTGTCAAAGGACGCTGAGTTTCATTGAGTGACAGTGACAACTGTTCAGAAAAATGTAATTTGTACATATTACAGGAATGATTCAAACTGGCTTTTCAAACTGGCTGCTGTGTAACGTTCCAGGTTGAAGAGTTGGCAGTCTTGTTGAGAAATTGACTTGAATCTCATGGTTTGTAATGTAGGCAGTTATAAAGTGGGATGCTTTTGACACGTCGTTTACAGGACCAGCCTCCTCCAGAGGGTGATGACTCCGCTCACAAGAAAGATGAACAGGGTGAGGACAAGAAACAGAAAGAGAACACGGCATACGCTAAGAAGATGGTCCTTCGGTTAGCAGGAATTATGGGACTTGGAGGCACAGTTGGAATCATATACATATTCGGTGAGTTTGCCTGTTGCTTTCTTATGCTAAGGTTTGGCACTAGAGGATTGGAATTTCATAAGCCTGAAGATTTTATTTCAACATTTTTGATTATTCAAAACTTTTTTGACTGACATGGTTTGGATTATTTTTTATATTATTGGATTATTGTTTGGATTATTCTGGATCATCATGAAGACATTGGGATGGTATTGCTCTTGTAATTTGTATGAATCATCACATATGTGATCAACATATATTTATTTATGATTTTTTTTTTTAAATACTTTTTGTATTGGAAGATTAAGTTGTGGTAATGGCAAAAATGTATTTAACTTGCATATTTATACTTATTACCAGTGTTGGGAGTAACTGCATTAAATACTGCATAGACTATAGAACAATTCTATATAAAACATCAAAATTTAGTGTCTAATGTTAAAATGTATGTTTTTTTAAACATTCTCCCTTTAAATGCTTTGGATAGTTCAAGAATAATTTATGCAATTTTATATATACTTTATTTGAAAGAATTAAGAGCAGTTTTATATCTGCCCTTTTATTGTTCAACTGGTCAAGGTTGATATGGTATTTAGAAAGTAATTAAGAATAACCAATGCAATACTTTTTAAAGAGAGTCATTAGTACAGTAATTACTCTGTTGAAGATCTAATTAGTAGCTTAATTACCTTTTTAGAGTAACGTATCCAACACTGCGTATTACAATTTAACATGTTTTTTGCATGCAAGTTTAATAATAATGTATTGTCTTTGTTTAGATAAAAGAATGAATTGATAAGTGGATAAACATGTGTGTAAAATATTAGACATTTTATTATGTAAATGTAAAAAAAAAGACTTATATGTATCATAAAAAGTTCAAATAAATGTCTAATATATCTATTAGATATTTATTATCTCATTTAATTTAGTTTTAATGTTTTGTTGCTTGCATAAACTCTCAAAGGTTTGAAATCATGTGACTAAAATTATGAGTGTTTCTGGTCTCTAGGTAGCAATTCTGTGGATGAACAAGGAAATAAGGTAAGCATTAACAATCACAAAACCAGGTTTAATAGTTTTTTTTATAGTTTTTTTTTTTTGCCTTTGTTAGTATTAAAGGGTTAGTTCACCCAAAAATTAAGTTTCTCTCATTGATTACTCACTCTCATGTCGTTCTAAACCTGTAAGACCTTCGTTCATCTTCTGAACACACTGAAGTGGTTTTTACCACTTTCAAGTCCCAAAAAGGTAGTAAAGACATCGTTGAAATAGGCCATGTGATTACAGTGGTTAAACCTTAATGTAATGGCGCTTTTCCACTACACAGTACCAGCTCGACTCGGCTCGCCTTTGTTTGGTTTTCCACTGTGTAAAAGCTGTACCTGTACCTGCTTTCGGGTACTTTTTTTTGTATCACCTCCGGCGAGGTTCTGAGCGAGCTGAGGCGATACTAAAATGTGACGTGAAAACAATGCCGACTGCTGATTGGTCAGAGAGAATCGTCACTATTCACTGCGTCATCATTGCACGCGCCAGATGGAGTATCCGGAATAACCCCGCCATTTTTAAATAGTTTGGCCAGAGATACTACTATTATTATGGCAACTCGGAAGAATACGCCGTGGTCAAACGAGGAGGTGCAGACTTTCCTTTGTATAAGATACGTATACTCGCGTATAAGATTACGTCACGGCAGTTTCCTGTGGCGCCGCTATGACGACCGGGTACTATTTGTGGCGGTACTGTCTGCACTCTGCAATGGAAAACGGAGCGAAAAGCGAGTCGAGCTGGTACTGGTAATGGAAAAGCGCCATTAGAGAGCGACGAGAATACTTTGTGTGCCAAAAAAAAAAAGATATTTCTTTAAGGAGTTTGACAAGGAATCAGTGATCAGTGTTTCAACATTTGTTTTGACATCACCCATACATTTTCTATGCACGTTCTAATGAGCTATGAATTTCGCCACCTTTCAAAGAAAGAGAAAAAAGTTAATATCAGATTAGTTGAATTGATTAAGTTAGCAGTCTAAAAGTATCTTAATGGTGTCCCATCGTTTCCTCCATGTTTTTTTTTTTTTCTCGAATATGGTAATTTTAACAAGCTCTAACGCCGTGCTATTTCCCTTGGCACACTTTCTCACCTGTCTCTTTCTATTGAAACTACAATGGCTTCTGGCTTACAGGCAGTTCAATCGGGTGTCGGTGTGAAGATTTTCCCTCTGTAGGGCACACTTCTCATAGTGCTGTGAATTTCCTTTATTCTGGGAGCAGACTTCTAGCACCTCTCGAGGTGGCCCACTTCAAACAACTCGCTTTACAAAGCCAGTCTCGAAGAAGACTCTATGAAATGTGTTTTGCTTGTTGGTGTTGCGTTTTTTACCTCTCTCTCCCCTGTGTGGAAGACCTGTGCTACTGTAATTGGAGCTTGACTTTGATTTTGTGACAAGGACCAATATTTTGTATTTTTGATGTTCCTTTTGCATTTAGTAGGTAATGCTCAAGAGATACTTTCTATAACTTCAGTGCCATATTTCCAATGTCATAGTGAACTACTACCATTATATAAATGTGACTGAGTGATCGCAATGTCTTAAAGGGATTGTTCACCCCAAATTCTGTCATTTACTTACCGTCATGTTGATTCAAACTTGTATGATTTTATTTCTTCTGTGGAACACAAATAGAGATTTTGGGTGAACTATCTTTTTAAGGTGTATTAGGCCTTAGAGCTCGTAAATGAGCATTAATGCCTGTTTGGCTTCTTAAAGATCAAATTAGCATGGTTACTTTAATGTTTCTGGAAGCCACCCACTGTTTCCCACCTTCAAAAGGGCACACTTCACAAGTAGATGCCAAATGCACCTAGTCTGGAGGCATGTGCCAGAGGTACGAGGTGTGTATTAACTTTAAAGAGCACACCTCCACCGTTGTTAGACATCCTGTTTTGTTACCTGCTTAATTAGAGCCCACTTGTAAGGGCACACTTCACAGGTCAGTGTGACCTCACATGAGTTCAGAGGGCCATTGGTGCCTGATCACACAGCTCATCCGTTAGATTGGATGGGCTTTACTGTTCTCAGCTCTTGTGATCTTATTGTGAGCACGAGACCTTTGTCCTGTTCCCGTACTGTAAAAAAAAATTCCGTCTCAGGGACTGGCTTTATGATCGGTCTCGCACGCTTCTGTCTTCTTGCCCTTATTGTAAATCAGAAGAACAATATTAAGAAACTTTTATAGCAGAAACAATTGTACATTTATATATACCACAGTTTAAAATTTTGGGGTCGGTAAGTCTCATGGGCTCACCAAGGCTGCAATTATTTGATCGAAAATACTATGGGGTGGGCAACGTGACCAAAATCTTAGTTCACCATACAAAACTTTTTTCACGATAACGATATATATATCACAATATAGTTATTTTTTTGTGACTAAATTAAGAACAAAGAAGCAAATTACAAACCATAGGACAACTACAATAGAACAAAGAAATTAAATTGAAGTTAAATTAATTTAATTAAAGTTTTATTTTATTTTATTATTGTTTTTTTTTTTAATAAATATTATTGTCATTAGGTACAGTAGTTATATCTAACATGAAGTAAGAAATACTACGGAAACTGAATAATCAAATGTAAAAATAACATTGCATTGTTGACTTTCTCTTCAGTCATAACCGACTGTGTTTAAGTAGATAAATACTCCACACGATGGGCATTTTGACACAGTTGTGTGTGTGTTTTACCATTCAAGCTTCATAAGTTGTGAAAGAGAACTGAATTTGGGATCGCATGGTGTCTGGAGAGGCGTCTTTTTGTGCGCTTGCTTTGGATGCGTCAGTCAGCGTTAGTTTTTCACGGCTTATTGTACTTAACTCTTAAGCATGTCCCACTCTTTATTCCTCATTCATTCAGGTTTCTTTATCAGCCTAAAGTGTCAAGAACTTTAAATAGTGCTGTGCTATGTGGATATATTTACAAACCGCAATCTATCTAGCGATAAGACACTTTACATCATCATGATGATAAATATCATCACACCACCCAGCCCTAAAAAAATGCTCAATAAATACTTATTATTTTTTTTTTAAATCTTATTATTATCAATGTTGAAAACGGTTGTGCTGCTTTATATTTTTGTGTAACCCGTGATACAGGATTATTTGATGAATTGAAAGTTCAAAAGAATGGCATTTATTTAAAAAATAAAATAATTTTTTTTGTAATATTATAAGTCTTTACTGTCACTTTAATATCTTTAATATAGCCTATTTAATATCTATCTTGGTTTAATAAAATTAATTAAAAAAAATTCTGAGCTTTATATATAATTATATGCCTTAGTTTGATCATTCTTTCTGATAGCAAATTATGATTTACACAAAATGGACTATAAAATTGTTTTGCTTAGACGAATTATGAGCAACATCATTTAGATTTTTTAAAATTTAGTGTTGATATTAGTTAGTAAAACTTTAAGATATTTTATATTTTGTTAATTTGTTAAAATCCCCCTGTAGTAGTCAATACTTTTATCCCTTAAAATATCTTTGATCACCAAAATGACATATTTAAACGTTTTTTCCTGTGAAAAATAAAATAGCTTGAATGTAACTCCACACCTTGCTTCATTTAATATACGTGGTTCTATGAATATGCAAATTAGCCCCGCCTCCACTCACTCACTCCAGCTCAGAGATGCACTCGGTCAACTTACTGTAGTAAACGCTGCACAATGGTATCGCTCTTTACAATGTCGGACATAACGGTAATTAATATGATTAGCCTTTTGCTTGACTATGTTGTCAAACAGCTAATAATGTGTTGCTAATGTTACACAAACCATGTTCCCGTTCGCCAGCTCAGTCAGCCTTCTAAAAATCAGCATCCTTAGAAATGCTTTGAACATCATAGAATGTCAGTGGAGAAAAGCATATAGTTCATCATAACAACATAATATACATCATATACATAATTTACCCGCTATATTGCTACAAATTACCTTTCATGTAGTGTGTAACATAGCTCTAAGTGAATGAAAACATCCTGCAAAGTTTTAAATCTGAAAGTGCACTGTATATAAAGTTATTGCCTTTCAAAAGTAAGAGTCGACTCTTGAGTCAATGAAATTAATTGTTTTTCAAACGAGTCATTAGTGTTGCTTTCGTCAACGAAAATTATGACTAAATATCGTCATCAACGAACCTTTATCACGTGACGAAAACGAGACGAGACGCAACGTAAATGCTGGTCATGTGACGATGACTATAATTAAATGTATAATGCAATATTGTTGACGAATAAAAACGAGACTAAATGTGGTTTACAAAATAAAAACTATGCTAAAATGTCTCTTCATTTTCGTTGACCAAAACGAGGCGAAATGTTATTTAACGTTATTTCGTCTCGTTTACTTGCATTATTATTATGCAGCATTTCTGTTTCCTGTGTCACTTCAGGGGCTGCATCAGATCGCACTGCGCAGACGCAGGCGACTTCACATCCTCAAGCCCCACTCGCGGCATTATTTAGAAGATGCAGCTGCGTGAGTTACGGCTGTTTCCCACATAGGGCCTACTCCTCGTGTAGTGCGTATGCGGTGTGTATGCAGGAGCAGCACGAGCTATTGTGCTTTCACATGTGCTCCGTTTGCAGTGCGCAACTGATCTACGGCTGTACCACAATCACAACATTTATTCTCTATTTTTTATTTCAAATCAATATTTTTAGCCTGCATCCATTATGTCGTGTTGTTGAGGTACTGTGTAGATCTCTGCTCTGCTGTTACGCACCGCTCCTGGAGCGCATTGCCGGACCGCATCCGCGTGCGGTGTGAGCGCCTCTAACCATAGGCTCTACATGGCCATGGGTGCGGGAAAAAATACGCACCACATACGCACTGCAAACGGAGTATGTGTGAAACAGGCGTTAGCATAAACGACAACAAACAAAGTTAAGTCTGACACAGAGAAAGGGATTCGTCTTTGGGAGAAAAAGAAGAAATGACATTTGGAAAAACTTTCATTTCATCGTGTGTAGGCTA